TAAGAAAGGACTATTCTTATATTCATGTGTTTATGTGTTTTATACGATCTTTTATGCAAATTATATAAGTATTTAATAATAAAATGAAAATACACGTCGAAAATAAAAGGTTATTTAGGAAAAATAACATTAACCTAGTTATAGTATACATAATAAGGATTCAGAAGATATAAGGAATGTTTGAATCTGACTTAAAACGAAGAAATTATGATACTTTGAAGTTTTGCGTTAAATCCGATTTAGTTGCGGATGTCGCAAAATAGTGAATCATATATAGATCCCTTATTAGCCTAAGTGATCTAAAAGAAAGGCATAGTAGTCATTAAATTGAGAGCGTGCATATAGAGAACATCCAAATCTGACTTCGTATGAGAAAGTTATGATTTTTCTTAGATTCAACGCAGCAGTGTGCAATGCTGATATCGAATTTTAGAACGGGCAGTTGTTAGGAAAAACACTCTAAACGAGAGTTGAAGATATCGTTCATACCTATCCGTCAATATAAAGACATTCGAGAACGGATATAATATAAGAGAGTTATGATTTTTACACAGACTTTAACAGTCTAAGCCTGTAAAAATATAACTTTAAAACAAATTCAAAATTAAACGACAGATTCTAAATAAAAGTTGTAAATCTCATCGATAGCTATGCATGGATATATAACCTATCGAAAATGGAGCTCATATGAGAAAGTTATGATTTTTTTTAAAAAAATAAGGAAAATTCGCACGCAACAGTAAGGGGCGCGACGCGCACCTAACATACCACCCAAATCGCAACACGTGGAACCATAAGAAAACGACACATCACCCCTTCCAACCAGATGCATAGCGAGCACCGGATCTATGTGTGGCGCACATTTCGAAAAGTCCTATAAATAGTTGCATTTTGTATATGTTGTTGATATCTTGCCCCTATAACCCCTATTTCTCTCTATCTCTCTCTCTCTCTCTCTCTCTCTCTCTCTCTCTCTCTCTCTCTCTCTCTCCTTCTTGTAACCTATTTTTCCTTAGTTTTCTGGTAGTTAGTGAAGCCCTGCGACCTCCTGAGTACCAAACTTATAGTAGCCATCGAGTATGAGTTCTACCTATACGAATTTCAAACTTTAATCAGCAAAACTCTATAAGTATCCCTACATTTACTCTGCTTCAGTGCAAATTATGGTTATCATCGTAAGTCGTTAATATGAACATGTAATTAAGATTTATCAGTGATTTCATGCCATTATACTGGTTGATCTACTTACTAGAGTGATGTTTAGGTTGGATTTAGTGGGGTGTTTAAAGTGGGATTTCCAAACAGTATAATCTGTATACCAAACGGACCCTACCTCCGATATAATCCTACATGGTTATTCCTTAATTGATAGATCTTGATGTAGGCATTGAGATTGTTGAGGAATCTAGACTATTAAATATAGTCCCCATAATTATGAAGCTAGACTAAGACTTAGTAATTTATACGTTTAGGTCTTTGAGAAGTGTTAAGGCGAAGCATTGCTCTAACCTGTAGTCACCTATTTTTTAAAAGTAAGTGCATATTTACTTTCAAGAGTATAATTTCATATAAGTATCTATTAAATTCTAATTGTTTTAATTATACTATGTGCTACTTGTATACCTGTAATAATAATGCGTACAAGGAACTGTATTGGACATAGTTTGCCTTTAGTATAAGTCTGGATTAGTCTAGGTAGAGTGTCAGTGCGCGTGACACAGTTTGTCGTTGCGCCCGGGTGTGCAAGAAGAATTTATGTTCCCAAGAAAGTTTATATCTTCTATATACGAGCTCCGTTTTCAATGGGTTTTATATCCACACATAACTATCGATGAAATCTACAACTGTCATTTAGAGTCCATCAGCAAGTTTTGACTTTATTTTTAAAGTTATATTTTTAATAGTCCTAGACTCTTAAAGTTCATTAAAAATTCATAACTCTCTTATATGATATCCATTCGCGACTGTCTCTATATCGACGAATAGGTATTAACAAGATCTTCAACTCTCATTAGATTGTTTTTCCTAACAATCAAATGATTCCAATTTTAGTTTCTAACTCGGATACTACTATGCTGAAATATTAGAAAAATCATAACTTCCTCTCACGAAGTCAGACTTGGGTGTTCTTTATATATACGAAATCCTCGTCACATATACTATAACATTGGCTAAGATTATTTATCATAATTAGTCCTCTGTCTGAAAGTCAATTTTAACGCTTCTAATAGTCAAATTGACTACCCCTAATTTGTGAGTGTTACATGTGGTGCATCTTTGCATTGAAGAAGACAATCAAATGGATTTGAAGATGAATTTTCTAAGGTTCATATGGTGGAAGCTAGTCAAACTTCCAAGAACAAAGGCAACGGAGCTCACAAAGGGAAAGGAAATCGTAAAAACCTAGGCCCCAAGGCAGGAACTTTCAAGAAGAAGTTCAAGTGTTACAATTATGGCCAACTAGGTCACAAGGTTTCAGAGTGCCCGTAGCCCAAATGGGAGAACCATCAAGCAAACATGGTAAATGGTGACATGGAGTAGTAGCCATGATAACTGATCACACGACTATGGTCTCACATGTGAATATCATGAATATCAATTCGAAGGAGTGATGGATTGACATGGGGGCTACTCATCATGGTGTCATGAGAAGAGCAGTTTCAACACCTACAAAGAAGTTGAAGATGGTGTAAAGCTCTACATGGGAAATGCGGCTACCACGGATATTAAAGGTGATGGTGATGTTGTTCTCAAAATGACACTAGGGAAAGATGTGAAACTTAGGGATGTTTTGTATGTTCCAGAACATCATAAGAATCTAATGTCGGGTGGTTTGTTAAATAAGTTTGGCTTTAATCTTTGCAGAATTTGTTGCCTATGCTCCTTTTATGCCGCTCTTAAAATCTGACAAGGGAATATGACCTATTGCAATAGGCACTATATGGAGATGTTTGGTTTCCAAGTTGACTATGAAAGGTGTTGGTAAAGAAATGACCAAGTATGTTAATGATTTTCAGTTTGGGGTCAGGGTATCAGGTGGCGCTGGGGTCGTATTACATAGCGCCAATAGGATGTTGAGTGAGTGCCATGATGATTGATCTCTTTCCATGCTTACCGTGGACTTCTCTAATTCCTTTAACCTTATCGACAGATTCGCATCACTTCATGAGGTTAGATTGAGGTGTCCTTCTATATCCTTGTGGGTAGAATTCTTATATGGTCAAGCAACAAGGTTGTATCTAGGCAACACATATATTTGGTCCACTACTAGGGTTCAGCAAGGAGACCCCTTGGGACCAATTATCTTTGCCATTATGTTGCAACCGCTCTTGCATAATATTAGAGACAATTGCAAGCTTCTTTTCCATTCATGGTACCTTGATGATGACACACTTATTGGAGATTTGGAGGAGGTGGCCAAAGCGTTGGACATCATTACGGTGATTGACCCAAAATTGGGCCCTCAGCTGAATATCAAGAAAACCGAGCACTTTTGGCCCTCATGTGATTGTAGGAAGCTATGTGAGGGGCTATTCCCGGCTGGCATTGGGAGGCCACCTTTGGGGGTGAAACTTCTTGGGGGAGTTATTGGTAAGATGCTAGTTTTATTAGCAGCTTAGCCATAAAGAGAGCCGAAAACCCTGTGAATTTGATGTGTCTTCTTCCACAATTATCTGACCCCCAGTGTGAGCTCCTTCTGCTTCGGTCTTGTATAGGTATTGCTAATATTTTCTTTGGGCTGAGGACATGCCAACCCGTTCACATGGAGAAGGCAGCATTATTGTTTGACAATGGGTTGTGTGGGGCGATTGAGGACATTGTGGTTTGTGTTGGCCATTTCTTTGGCGACATACAGTGGTGAATTGCTTTCTTACCCATTAGGTTTGGTGGTTTTGGTTTATACTCAGCAATAGAGGCTACCTCATACGCTTTTGTTGCCTCAAGGGCCCAATATTGGGTATTGCAAGACGACATCTTATGGGATAGCGGCATATATGGTATGAATTCTGATTATGATTGTGCCTTGACTTATCTTCGTAACAAGCTTCTGGATATTGACCTTAGCAGTTTTACTACTAAAGACACCCCCCCTAAATCCCATAATATACTGGCAAGTGCCCTTTCCTAAAATTGTCCAAGATATGGAAGTACATCTCGACATGACACCTCGACAGAAAGTGGTTTTCCAGTGCTTACGTGCACCACATGCTCAAGATTTTCTCCTAGCTATCCCTATAGATGGGCTTGGCTAACATATGTCTCCTGTGGAGTATCGTACTATCCTCAAGTATCGACCCATGATTCCAATATTTCCAGCTGACGAGATATGTCCGGTGTGTCGCAAGGCATGTTTGGACTCTTATAGAGAGCATGTAGTTTACTATAAAGAACTCTCGGGGTTCAAATACATGCACGATATGATTAGGGATGTTTTGTTTGACATATTTAAGCGTGTCGGGGTTTCCGTCAAGAAAGAGACACCTGTGAATTTCTTGACTGACCCGACAGAATGGATGTTAACCCTTAGATCGGCTGGTGTTTTGATTTTTTAGTGGGTCGGAGGGAAACACGCATGTATGGACCTTATAGGGGTATCCCTTTTCGTGGGCTTGAGGGTTGAGGGTTTCATGATGGGACAGGTTGCTTAAAAAGCTGCTATAAACAAAGTCATCAAACATGAAAAATCATGCATGGAAAATCAACACGTGTTCATACCATTTGCATTTGATACGTTTGGTTTTATCGCACCGGATGTAATGGAGTTTCTTAATAGAGTACAACGGATCATACATAGTAATGTTATATCTCTAGATCTATGGATGTAATCTTCAAAAGAATTAGTTTTACAATACAAAAAAGCTTAACGGCAAAACTTGTTGCTCGTTTGTCATCTCATTTTTTGTACAATGATAATTAAACTAATAAAAAGTATTGATTTTTAGGGAAAAAAAATTCATGTATCAAATTTGATTTCGTGATGACTTAATAGCATAATCTATCTCATCAAGTTTCTCAGAACTTCAAAATGGATGGTGACACTACGCGTGTTGCAATAGGATATTATTACTTATTAGTACACATGATAACAACACATTTACACTCACAAACAAAACCCTCCAACCCAAAACAGTATCTCTATTACCATAAACAGAGACATCTCACCAAAATATTACAATTTAAGCGTACATTGTACAATCGACCCCCAAAAATAAAAATAAAAACAAATTTCATCCTATCAAGAAACCGATTCTTGATTTGCACCAAAAACCGTTTCTATGTTCCCTCGTTGTCTACATTCAACGAACCATCTTTGAATAATTTCAAGCTAAGATTATTGTATCTCTCTCTTGAATATTGTCTAGATGCTTTCCTCCAATCAGTTCCTGCTTTCATCATTGCTTCAAATTCCTCATAGCTAATTCGCCCATCCTAAAACCATAATCAATTTATCAAATTAAACAAATAAAACCACACAAAAATGTGTTGAACAAACAAAAATAAAAAAAATTAAACAAATACAAACCTTGTCTGTATCAACATCTAGAATAATTGCAGCAATTATATCCTCATTATCAGTTTCAATTTCATCAACTAAAGCTTCCCTAAGCTCTTCTTCCTCTATATAACCACTTTTGTTTTTATCAAAAAACTCAAAAGCCTCTTTCAGATGATCATCACTTCCCATTTTTCTTAAGTGAACAGAAATAGCAACAAACTCTCCATAGTTCAAGTACCCATCTCTATCAACATCACCCTGTACAAACATATTTAGTTACGATTTGTCTCTTATATATGAAGGGTATAATCGTCTTTTTCAAAACCACAGTACTTACGGCATCCATAAGCATTTGAAGATCTGAATCAGGAATCTGATGACCAAGCTTCTGCAAACCAACTTTTAACTCAACCATGGTTATCTTCCCTTGTTTGTTGGTGTCCATTAAATCAAATCCTTGTTTTATCCCCTCCACTTCTTCCGCAGATAAAAGCTCAGCAATTACCTAAATTCATGATTTACAAATTTCAGCACTTTGAAATAAAGTTTAAAAACAAAACCCTAAAAATTTTAATCTTTTTGTTATACCCTTAATGCCCTCTTCTTGAGCTTGTTCATGAATGAGAACTGCTTTAATCTTGCTTTAACAGTTTCACCTAAAGAAACGTTTGGAGCCTTCTTGGCATTTTGAATCCACGGATGATCTGTACATTTTTTTAAAGGGTTAAAGATGTAATTTTGAATCTTATGATCGATTAACTATTTTTAGTACACATAGGGTCCATAAACAAAACTTCTATGCCCTATTTATTATGAAGTGTCTAAAAAAGATTTAGTAACCATATTGATGGGAAAAAGAAGAATGAAACATGAGTAAAATGTTACCTAAAACTCCTTGAGCAGAAAGGCGTAAATTAGGGTCAGGATTAAGCATCTTTTTAACAAGATCTTTTGCATTATCAGATACCACAGGCCATGGATCCCTCTTGAAATTAACAACCGATTTAATAATCGCTTGTGCAACTCCTTGTTCAGTTTCTTCATTCAAAAAGATAAAATGTATTTTCAAAACTAACAAAAAAGGAAATAATTTTGTGAAGTGTGTTATGTGTATGAAGGAATTCAAACTCACCAGCCCAAAATGGTGGGACCCCACAAAGCAAAATGTATAGAATTACTCCAGCACTCCATACATCTATTTCGGGACCATAGTTACGTTTCAGGACCTCAGGAGCCATGTAATATGGGCTTCCTACTATTTCATTGAATCTTTCACCTTTTTAAAGATTAAAAACATCTTCATTTAGTGAAAATGGTGAAGAAAAGATGTACAAAAAGTATGATTGTTGATAGTTTTTACCTGGTTTGAAGATCACCGAAAGCCCAAAATCAATCACCTTTAATGCTGCTGTTTCTTTCTTGTTTGCGTACAGAAAGTTTTCAGGTTTTAGATCACGATGCATGACGCCATGTTTGTGGCACATCTGTAGTAAGAACAAAAAAAAACACATTTGATTCGTAAAAACTTTCTTCAAGAAGTGGATATCAAATATGTTTGTGTTATAAACATACAGGAAAATAGAGATGGATAAATGTTGACCTGAATCACTTCAACAATGGTGCGAATGACACCTGCAGCAGCCCTTTCTGTGTAATGGCCCCTAGCAACAATCCGATCAAACAATTCCCCACCTTCACATAACTCCATAACTAAATGAACGGCATTATCATCTTCATAAGTGCCCTTCAAGCTTACAATATTCTGATGTGGTGGCATATGCTTCATAATCTCAACTTCCCTCCTTACATCTTCAATATCAATCCTCGTTCTTAGTTTCTTTTTTGAAATCGATTTACAGGCCAAGACTTCACCTGTAGATTTATCTGTACACATGTATGTAATCCCAAACTCTCCTCTACCCATCTCCTTACCAAGAACATACGTTTGCTCAATTTCATGTCCGGTAGGGTTTTCAAGTACATATGATTTGTATCCAGTAGGACGTGATGTATTGGGGCCATCGTAATCTAACGAAAATGGGTTTGGTTTGTTTTTCCCCTTTTTATTCTCGTAATCAGTGGTGGAGGGTGTAGCACAACAATTACCCATATAATCGGAGCTTGAGGATCTAATCTATATCTTGACCTTAATTGTTCCGATTTCGGAGTAATAGTATAAAGCTTCAAGATTCAAAGATCTTTACATAACTGGGTATCAGAAATTAGAAGGAACAAAGAGTCAAGAACAGCCCAATTACTGTTATTTATAGCATAAACAGTGAAACGGGTCAAGGATGGAGGGCCTACCTGGAAACAAATCAGATCTTGTACTTGTGCTTTGATTAGCAGCCTGATATGGGTTTTCGAGGGTAAAAAGCAGATGACAAAATTGGCAAAAGGATAGGAACCTGAAGAATGCTCCCAGAATTATCGGGAGGTGTGGGTAGTGATTTGTCGACAGGATAGGGTTGAAGAAGAGGGATTTTTCAGGGTATTAGCAGCTCGCTCATTATTGAGGAATTGGTCAACGCCTTCTATCAGCTTTTATTTAACGTAAAACTGTCGCAACTTGCTGTAGTGTTGTTTACCTAAACCCTTATTGGTGTAATATTTTATGAGAAAGTGACAAAATAGCCTAAATTGCTTAAAACTTTTTAATTAATATATAGCCAAAACTTAGACATCGTCGACAATGTAACCACTTATTTAGCAAAAAGGGCATAGTAAAAAGATGTGGCTAGTGTGAAATGTTTCAAATGATTTGGTTCTATATTGCAACCAAAGTTTACGCGGTATGTTTTTGTGAAAATTGACTATATTTGAGATAGAGAGCGAATGTTTGTGGATCATTTATGTGTATTTGAAAACTACATTAACCAAAAAAAACATTATAGATGATGTTATCTTGGGTCTAAACCGAACACTCACTTGAACGAAATTCAAGGCAACATGGACCAAACCGAAAATCGAATAATAATTTGGTTTGGTTTGGTTTGAAAATCCAGAAAATCAAATATTGAGGTTAAAAATGAAATGGTTTAAATCATTTTTGGTCATTTATTTTTTGGGTTTATGTCCATTTGGTCACATAATTTTTTTTAAATTTAAAATGCCATCGAATTTTTGGCTTTTTGCTTATTTAGTTACCTAACTTTTGGTTTCATCACGTAACTTTTGGATTTATGCTCATTTAGTCACCTAACTTTTAAAATTGTGTTTATTTAGTCATTAAACTTTTAAAATAAAGTATAAAATGAGCACAATCTTAAAAGTTAGGTGATTAAATAAACATAATTTTAAAAGTTAGATAACTAAATAAGCACAGGTCCAAAAGTTAAGTGACCACACTCCCCACCAAAAGTTAAATAAGAATAAAGTCAAAAGTTCGGTAACCTTTTAAAACTTAAAATGGTTAAATAACCAAATGAACATAAAGTCAAAAGTTAAAGGACAAAAAATGACCTAAACTTAAAATTAAATCTAAAAGTTTAAATTTTCAAACATAAAATCAAAAGTTTCAAAAATATGAACATAAGACAGAAAAAATGAGTTAAAAAATTGAACTTTTGGGATTTTGGAATTAAGAATTCTTTGTTTTGTATATGTGAAATATGAAATATCAAATATGTTTTATTTTTTCTATTTAATTTTTTTTAATATAAAGAAATATAATATTTAATGGATAAAAAACTAATTAATTTAATTCGTTAATTCAATTTGGTTTGGCTCGAACTCTATTAGACCATAGCTTAAAGCCTCAAACCATTAACCAAATTCCAAATTCAGTTTGGTTTGAAACCAAACTTAAAATCGAATTTGAAATTTATTTTGTCAGAATTCGATTTTTGTTTGGTTTGGTTTTCAGTTTCTTTTATTCTAAACTAAATAATGTCTACCCTAGGGCACATAAACCATTTGGTAAATTGGAACTATTTCTATGTTTTTTTCTCAAACATGGACCAATTTGTCTATTTGAAAACAACAAGGACCAAAAAAATTGTACATGACGCTTCTCTTAGGAACACAACAACCATGTAGCAAGAAAAAAACTATAAAAACGGTCCATATGGTTTGCATATTTTTTGATTTGGTTTGAAAATAGGGCTGACTTGCAAAAAAGATTGTGATGTCCCAAATATACTAATAAACAATTTGCAAGTTCAAACCATCAAATTGATACAATATTTGTTCCAAAATCAATCATGGTAAAATGTATCTTAAACATCAAAGTAGAATGATAATAAATAGTATGGAAAAGTCATCAGGGATATGTGCAGTCAAGTCGGGTCCTTTCCTCTGGAGCTGGAAGTACCTAAAAGTATTTAAACCACAATATATTAAGTACAAAGTTTAGTGAGTTCTCCAAAATACCACATCATACATATCAGTGGGCCCAGTCCTAGGTATGTATTTCAACCCTATGTGAGTGTTATGATCTAACCATAGCCTTACATTCACTTCTAGACTACAACCCAATTGTAGCCTTTCTGTCATGATCCAATCATGGTCTTTCATACAAGTCACAAAGACAAACAAGCGATGTGATCTAACCACAATCCTTCATACAAGTGTTTTGATCTAACCACAGTCTTTCATACAAGTGTTGTGATCCAACTACAGTCTTTCATGCAAGAGTCACGGATACAATCTTGCAACCTACATAGTATAGTGAGAAAACACACCTTAATCTATAGACAAGACAATCACACACCCGAGTTGCTGATATGAAACTCTTCACGTTAAACATATACACAATAAAACCCTAATCAACAATTAAGGTAATAGCTAACACTCAAAGAGTCTTGATTCATAGTTAATCCTTCGTGGGGAAAAAGACAATTTTTCCCTCCCAATACTAAAACCCAACATAATTAACCAAAAGTCAAATTGGTCAAGTATTGAGGGCAAGTTTTGAAACTCTTCAAAACCTTTTGGTTCCAAAACTTGATGACAAGTTTTTTAACTCTTTAAAAAAAACTTTTGAGTTACATAACTTAATGAGTTTAATGTTTCATGAATGAGATTTTTCATATTTCATAACTTGATGACAAGTTATGAAACTCTTCAAGAAACATTTAGATCAAATTTAACTAATAAAATTATCATATAACTTTATCTTTTACTAATTTGACCTAATTCCACTCATATGACAAGATAATTTCAAATTCTACAAGTAATTAGTTTTTCACAAAATCAAGTAATTATCTTAAAATTTGACAATCATCATGTTATTGGTGGGGATAATCATTACCATATCAGTAAAATCGAATTGTATGAGCCAAAACATTTTTGTTGTAATGATCCTAATCCAAAACAAGACAAAAACTCGAAAAATCTGTCAATTGATGATCCAACTCGTCGAGCCAGGCTATAGGCTCATCGAGTTCATGGTCATATGAGTCAACTCGTTGAGTCCACTTAGGGGACTCGTCGAGTCCAGCAGCTAGACAACAAAAATCATAAATTTTCAACTTTGAAAATAATACAATTGCATCTATATAACAGAAAACACCCATGGCTTTGATACCACTATTGGGTTTTATGTACTATAACACTCTTATGGTGCACATACAACCCTAATGCTTTGGATCTAAGTTTTCTCTAGTTATACATGAAATAAACAATTTCCGAAGCCTGAAGCCTAACTAGCATACAAATTTGGTACATAAATCATAAAAACTAGTTAGAAGAATACCTCTTATTTGTAGCTTGTAGTTGTTGGCCTTTCAAGAGCTTAGCACCTCAAGTGTGATGCCTCAAATGGTTCAAAAAACATCATGAGGAAATGGAGGATAATTAGAAAGAGGTTATAAACCACCCAAAATCGGGTAGGTATCTACTTGGAACTCTTTGGGTGCCAATTTTGGAGCTAGGGGGTTACACTTATAGTGTGGAATTCCTAGAGTTTCAACTTGTAAACCCTAATCCACTTCCTTTGGGCCTTTAATCCAATAATCCATATGATAAGCCCTTTGGACTAAATCTTCATGGACTCCACAAAGATTTAGTCCACATAATCAACATGGATCATTAGCACAAACTATAAGTATCATTGATTTACTTAATCAGTCCCCTTAATTTAATTAATCTCTTTTGATCACTAAACTAATTCCAAATTAATTCTTGACCAATATTAATTAAATAATATGATTCCTCAATTAATATACTATACTTATAATATATTAATAAATCACAAATAACCTCTTTCTCAAATATCCATCCTATCAAATTGTTTTGATGAATGCAACCCAAATGGATCATGCTACTCACGGGTCAAGTACATATCAATTATAGTTATGGGCTTAGACACCTAATCCAACAAATCTAGCATGCAGTTCTCGTAAGCATATCATAACATAAACTTGTATGGCTAATTTGGGAGTACTTACTTGAGCTCGGTTGATTGCATGCACCACACCCATTTCTCTTTTCAATGTTCTTTTTCTCTTTTCAAAATTCATTTTATAAAAATGATTTTCTTTTGAAAATTTTCATACCAAGTCATCAATTTGAGTTCAGACACACCCGAAAGTGTGCCCAAATCCCTCAAACCAAGGCTCTGATACCAACTTGATACATCCCAAAAATACAGTCCAAAATTTTCGTTTTAATTTATAAATAAAACCATCGTAATCCAACATTATACAAAATCATAAGTCATGTATCTCAATATATCATAAAAATATGTCATATATATCAGAGTATAAACATCCCGGGCTAAACAAATGGTGTGTGCACTGCAATCATCCCGAGCTCTTCCCCCTTGCTACCGGAAGTACCTAAAACCAAAACTGAAAACTGTAAGCACGAAGCTTAGTGATTCTCTCCAAACTATCACATACCATACATATAATCATGCTACTAGGAGATACGGGCCCCGCCCATACTCAAGGAAATAGAGGCCCCACCCAGTCTATATTAACTAGGAGATACGGGCCCCGCCAACACTCTGCTGATTATGAGATACGGGCCTCACCCACACTCAGCTAACTACGAAATACGGTCCCCGCCCACACTCGGCTAACGATGTGATACGAGTCCCGCCCACACTCGGCTAACTATAAGATACGGTCCCCGCCCACACTCAGCTACTTAACAAACTTACAAGTA